AACATCTATTTTATTTAAATATTAAGGTTACATGATTATTAACAGGCTTTTAAATGAACTGAAAAAAAAAATTAAAAATTAAATTAAAAAGTATTTACATATAAGCATCAAAAAATCCCTCCGAATCATCGGCTACTGGTAGCGTGCCCAGAAGGCTGGCAGCATTGCCACGTTGAATGGCAATGCTAGAAAATGGGCGGCCTTCTGATCACGAGAAGTGTCGATCAGTTGCTTAGCCAGTTGATTATAGCACGAGCTATCGAATCCCACGACCTGACGTCTCGACCCCAAACGGTATAAAAATGAAATTCCCTACAAAGTTTTAATATTTTTGCGGTATAACCAGCTGTGCTTGGACGATATGATAACTCAAGGTGTTAACCATCTCATGAGTATAATAAAAAAAAAAATGTTAGAGGGGGTAGACGAGCAGACGAGTTAGATGGAAAGTGACTATCGCCGCCCATGAGCGTCTGCAACTCATTAGTCACAAACGCGTTTAGGAAGGAGTACGCTCTTTTCTTGAAGGTTTGAAGGATATGTATGTAGTTGATATGTTAAATTAATAAAAATGTATCTTTTTGTTCTTTCAGCTACAGAAATTGATAAAAAAGGCCTGGCACTAAGTAATGAAGTTACTAAACATTTAACACCAGTTTGTCAAGCTTACGCTGGACAAAGCCTCATAAATTACGAGCTCTTTTTGCACTGCAAAAGTTGAGGGATTCCTCAGGCCATAAATAAATCAACAGATATGCTCACGAAAGCTGACAAATCCGGTCCCCTAATAGTTTTTGTCTGAAAACATTTTTCGAATGAAAATCTTCGTCCATTTTCGTTGTTGTTTTTTCTTTAACAAAGCTTTATTGGGTGTAAATCTGTAATTTAGGAAAAAGAGTGAACAAAGAACAACTAAATAATGCTTTAATACAATTTAATTATTATTTGTATGTTACTGCGTGAAGAAAATCCTTTAATACGCTTTGTAAACAAATATGGCGTGCGAAAAAAAAATCTTTTTACGGCCGGTTGGTCGCTCAAGTCAACCATTTGTGTGCAGGAACTTTTAATGTTTGATTTGGTCTGCTTGTTTCCATGTAAAATATGTATGTTTTTACAAAAAAAAACGAGTGTGGTTTAGACCACACGACTGAAGTAAAACTTCTTGGCTATGAGAGAAAGAGAGAAAGAAAATATGCGCTCACACCTCTCTCTCTTGCCCATACAGTAATATACGAAACGTAACTCTCTCTCTTTCTATTTTCACTAACTAATATCTCCTCTCAACTACCTCGCCTCGTTCGCCTCGCACGATCACACTTTTCCAAGCGTTTTCACCAAGCGTGCGTAAAGAAGTTTTACTTCAAAAAGTATATATGTATTTATATCACTTTTCTAGTACCCATAGTTCAGGCTCTGCTTAGTTTGGGACTACATGGCGTTGTGTGAATGTTTTTCATGTTTTTTTTTGTCTATACATCACACATCTCACACACGGCAGTCGGGTCCCAAACTAGGCAGAGCCTGTACTATGGTAACCAGACTGCTGATAAACATACTTAATTTTTTTCAAATACATACATATTATAGATAAATTAAATCCAGACACAGAACAAATGACCGTGTTCATCACACAATATTTGTCTTGAGTGGGAATCGAACCCACGACCTCCGGTTTAACAGTCAGGGTCACTAACCACTAGACCAACAGGCCCGTCAATATATATATGACATATATTCTGATATATCATAATGAAAAGTGTGAAAAAAAAAACAAATTCAAAACGGTCAAAATTTTAGTGCCAGACGATTTCTAGTTAATATTAGTATATGCTTACATCTATATTTATATTATAAAGCTGAAGATTTTGTTTGTTTGTTTGGTTTAACGCGCTAATCTCAGAAACTAATCTTGCGAATTGAAAACCCTTTAAGTGTTGGATATCTTATTTATCGAGGAAGGATATAGATTATTTAACATCATACTAAGGTCAATATGAGAGGAGCATCAATAAACAATGTTGCAAAAACGGGGAAAATTTATTCCTTTTGATTCCAAAAGAAAATTTGCTCGTCAGCTAGAAACAAATAAATAATGAAGACTATAAAGTGCCTTCCAAATTTATTACACCAACTGTGCTATAATGCTTGCAGTCACAAAGATTGTAACAAATGGTTATTGAAATAGACTGGCCGTGAGATTTTATTCCAGATATTCTGCTTGAGAGCATCTTGAATCTATTGCTTTGAGAATCTGACAGTAACTGTTAATGTAAAAGCGGTTTGACGTTTAATACCTAAGTGTATAAAGGGTTTTAGATTGGAGAAACAAAATTATTTGCGGAATGAGAAAACCTTCATTGTGTATATCATTTACATCTTATGTGGCATTAGTTTCTTATTTAAAGCTTATTACTAAAGCTAAGATAAAACTTGTATATGACTATTCTAATAAGATTGAATGGAAAGAAAGTAACCTAAAATAAAAATATTACAAATTCTTTTGCAAACGGCCTGAGCACTCAGCGCAGTAACAAGCGGCGAGGTGACCGCTTAAACCACTACACCATCCGTGCAGTCAAAGCCTATTAAAAAAAAAAAAAAAAAATACAGGCCAGTCATATTTAGATAACTTTCTCTTGACTAAGAATTCAATTCATATTAAATTCATATTGATTTATCTTTTTTTAATGGCATAGGCTTCTAGCGAGCAGACAGATCATCTGATGGTAAGTCAGTAACCACCGTCAGTGGACAGCTGCAACCCAAGAGACACAAATGCATTGCCGCATTTGCAATAATGCAAGACTTACAATAAAAACAAATAAACCTATGATAAAATACGTAAAAACATAAAATATACAGTTAATCAAAAACTAGCGCAAGTCAGTACGCAATATAAGGCCTTTGTGAACTCATTAAGCGAATATGAAAAAATGTCAACATGATCCGACAGTTCCGACAACGCATTGGGTTGTCGGAACAGATTGGTGCGCGCGGGCGGCACCGCAAGCAGGCGCGGGCACTGCCGCCGCGTCACGTAATCGTTGGGCACACACAGTGAGATCTCCTATAGGATAGCAGGGTTTTATATCAAGCCACGTAATATAAATCACACAAAAGAATATTTTAAAACTCATATTCGCAAAACACGTTAAGTTGTAACTATTTTATCTTTTCATCGATAAAATATCTACTTTATATACTCTTTCGTGAGCCAGAAACCACAATATGTCACTCGCAAAAGGCGCCAAACAACTACGTATTCAGTTCAGACGTCACTCTCACAAGTAATTGGGTTTTTTCCTGGATGAAGGGGTGTCAATAGGCTTCAGCTGACCGTTATCTATTAACAGCTTGGCTTGGATGTTGGGAGATTAAAAATAGGGATAGTATTAACCTTATTTATAAAATTTTGGGCTGTAGATCGATCTAGTGATCCTGACGGCTAGGGTTAGTTTTTTTTGAGCATGTAACACACAACGCCATCTAGTTTCAAACTAAGCAGAGCTTGTACTATGAAAGCTAGATCGTCTGATAGAATACTTATATACTTTTTTGAACATTTTGTCCGACCCGGGAATCGAACCCGAGACCTCAGCACAGCAGTCGCATACGCTACCACTGTGCCACCTAGGCAGTCACATAGATTCACAGATTCCCACATAGGAGAACTAATTTAAGGATGTATACGATAATTTGTGTTATATCTGCATGTAATTCTAAATCTATAGTTTCTATGTACTTAATTCTAAGTTTGTTTTCAATAATCTAGTTACCGCAATACATAGGTATATTCTGTCTTATTGCTGTAATTAGACGGCCGTGTGTGAGATGTTAGAGATTATTATAAATTATTCTCTCATCAAGACTACATTCACGATTCAAAATCGTATTTTGCTGACTTTACATTATGTTATTGTACTTGTTAGAAAACGTATAATAAAACACAGCAGGCTCATGATGAATATTGTTGACATGAAATGCGAACTCTACCGAAAATTAATACTTTGTAACAGCGGACTTATCCTAAGATATTTATACAAGTCTTACGAAGATTACCCTCCTGTTAACTCCTCTGAGGATCCAGCTATTTGAGACGGAGTTTGCGCTAAGTCTTTTAATGAGCTTTATTAATCTTATTTATGTATAATGAGGATGAAGAAGAAATAGGCTTAAAGATAATCATTTTGTTAAAACTTATCTTTCGAAAGCTCAAATTATTGGTTAGTTTAAAAAACCCCTGTTATTAACCCTAAAAAAGAGGGGTTTTATAGGTTTAACCTATATCTGTTTGTTCATATGTCTGTCTATGGCAATGTAGCTCCTAAACAAATGAACCGACTATGATTCGGTTCTTAGTTGATAGAGGGATCTCATTATCTTACACAACTCCGATTGATTTGAAATTTGGTGTACTGATACTTTAGCGTTTTTACCATGATATGGTAACCTTGACCTGATGGTGCGGGTAAACCTTGTTTGTGTCGGACTTTTTTGGGGCTATGACTACGCGTAACGATTGCCACAGACGTTCTTATGGCACCGAGTCACCGAGGGATCTCAATGTTTTGGAATGGTCACCCATCCATAGACTGACCAGTCTAAGATAAGTTTACAATGTGTTAACCCGATTAAGTTACCACTTAGACACGAGTTATTCGAGAAATAGTAGTCCAAAACCTCCTTTCTAAGGAGAGGCCTATGTCCAGTAGTGGACTAGTATAGGCTGTTGATGATGTGATGTGATTCGAGAAACTCCTACTTTAGAGTCGGTTTAAAACAGAGATTATATAGCCAAAATTCGTCATATTTTTCGCCTCGGTCACCCGTTAATACTTACCGTCAAGATTATTAAAATATATCGCCTACCCAGCGATGCTTTCTATACTAAATTCCTATTAATCCCATTTGAATGTGACATTTTTATGTGCTGTGTAGCTGTAAGAGTTACAATGGTTGTATAGTCGTAATATATTAATCTGATTTTACTTTGTTTCATGTACGGTGTGGTGCAGAGCCCAACTCGAGTGAGTATTCTTGTAAATTACCATCGTAAGCTAGTTCATTTACAATTTTGATGTGAAACCTTTTTATTTATGTTAGAGGGGGCAGACGAGTAGAACATCGCCGCCCATGAACGTCTGCAACTCAGGAGTCACAAACGCGTTGTTTTAGGAAGGAGTACGCTCTTTTCTTGAAGGTTTGAAGGTCGTATCGGTCCGGAAATACCGCAGACGATAACCCGTTCCACAGATTGGTTGTGGGGGGCAAAAAGTATCTCGAAAAGCGCACAGTGGTGGAGCGCCAAATATCCAGGTGATGAGGATGAAAATTTTGCCGTGTGGAACGATGGCGGAAAGTTGCGGCTGGCATTAGTCCGAACAATTCCTCGGAGCACTCTCCATGATATATGCGATAGAGAATGAAGAATGAAGTGAAGTCACATATCTACGTAATGCTAAAGGATTGATCCGATCGGATATGTTTGGGCTATCAACGATTCGAGTGCTTCTTTGTTGGATGCGGTGGGTCACACTGGCTGTTAGCGTGATGATGCGTTGCCACTGCATACGTCGCCTCGCTATGTGATAAGATATGTAATGTGTGGTGATGCAATTATATTTTGAACAAGCTGGTACCCGCGACTTCGTTCGCGTAGAAGTAGAATTGGTTCGCGTTGCCTCAGCGGCTTAATTTCCCGGACCGGCCAAATTTTAAAGGGTTTATTGAGAGGAATAATAGCCTTAAGTTACTCCTTATATAGACAGCTACCTGGTAGTAAAATATTATCAAAATCCGTCCATCCGTTTAGAAGAGTATCCGGCACAAACGGACAGACAGACAGAAAACTTTTATTTAAACCGGTTTTTAGTCAGGTATCGTGCAAATAACCGTGTGAGCATGAAAAAACCTATTATTTTGACATTACAAACAGACACTTCAATTTTATTTATTTGTATAGATTGTGCCATAATTATTCTTTTCGTTCGCAAGCTAACCTTTGATACTCAATATTTCTACAAAATAATTTCGATGTTTTACATTTGCCAGACGTCCTGTCACGTATAAATTTATTTTATAACTACATTATAGATAGCTTTGTGAATGCCTAGATTTAAGTTTTAAGTTTCGATTTTGATCATAAATTTGTTAACACACTTATTCGAACAAAGATCTTTATCGCGCGTTACATGCTCTGAGCGGATGGGACAAAAATGTGTAACAAGACTTTTTTTCCGACACTTGGTTTAAAGCAGAGTGTATAGCAAAGGTCTACCAAAAAGTGATAGGAACTTGATTCCAACTATGAGTTGATAGACCCCTTACGCCGTTTTATTTTCCTAGTAAATTTATAACCATAAGAAAGCTATACTTCACCACAAATGGGCCCAATAGACCAGAATACCACGGCGTAACAAAAACCGGAGACAAACAATTCTGTCGTTGCTTTTTATCGAGTGAGTGACGTCATCAGAACCCAAAACCATCCACCCTGATTCTGAGGGGGGCTCTGTGACTCTCGAACTGCAGGTGTCCATGGAAGGCGGTAATCACTTACCATCAGGTGACCCGTCTGCTCGTTTGCCTCTTATCCCAGAAATATTTAGAATGATAATTTAGCGTCAATTTTTTTGTTTAATTTAATTAATGAAGGGTAAAACTGGACGCTTACCAACCCGTCTGGCCAGCGTGGTATAGTAGGCCAAAACCTCCTTTCTAAGGAGAGGCTTATGTCCAGCAGTGGACTATTAAAGGCTGTTGATGATGATGATTGATGAAAACTGGACGAATATAAAATTTTAAAGGCAGAGTATTTTAAACCTCCAGTAATCTCACTCATTTGATGGAAAACAAAGAAAGATTAAGCAATTTTTTCGTTGAAGACTAGTTTTCTGTGAGACCGGAGGTGGCCACGGGACACATCACGCACACACTCCAGTCCAACCAGCCCATATGCCAAAGCATGGCTCTCCCACATTTTCTACTGGTAGGTTGTTTCATCTATAGCTCCAGAGGGGAGAAAAGATTATTAACTTAGTGAGTTTTTTGCAAAATTTGTATATCTACATTTTTTTGTGAAATACATTAATTCTCACCCCGGATAGAACTTTCAAAATATCGATTTAAAGAATTGTATTTCTTAACAAAAATATTTACAGTTCACTCAAAATAAGAAGTTAAATACATTCGTTATTAATTAATATCCGTCTGGTACTTTATACAAAGCGGGCAATATTTGATATTATAAATGATATTTTTTTCTGCAAGTAAATATTTTCAGATATTTTTACAAGTCCGACTTAACAGCTAGAAAGCGCCAGCATTTCCTAAGACTCATTCTGGAATGAAACGCCGAAACAAACCACAGAGGCGTCTTTTTTTTTTAAGGCCGTGTACAATATTAAAGAAAGCTATGTGAGTACAAAATAGGGTCTGAGTTGGCCATTTGAAGAAGGGACCATAGTTTTAAGTCGGCCCGTCCATATAAATGGCATACGGGCCCTAGTCATCGTGTAACCTAACCGATATAGTCAGGATCGACAACCCGGAACACGACAGTACCGCCAGCAGGACACTTGAGAAGGCCGTGGAAATACTCAAAACCTCCAGAAAGTTACTAAAATATGAACTAACATTACAAGCCTACACTATACTGACGTAACAGAGTCAATATGTATCTACATACTCATCATAGACAAACATTCACTTGGATAAAGTAATTCAATAACAATGTCAAAAACCAATAGAAAGTTGTGTTTCCATTTGAACGATCGGCAAAAACTCTTCAAGTAGAAATCTGAAAGCTTTTAAAGCTTTCAGTAAAAATTGCTGAAACCTTCTAGTCAAAACGTCAATAAGGAAAATACTTCTTTCTGAAATGTTTAGAAATTACGAAGGTTTACGTCGCCAGAGTTACTTTTTAGATGTATATGTATGCTTTGTACGCATTATGATTTTTATTATTCGCTTGCACTAAAAAAATAAACATTTTGAAACAACAAATGTTTGGTGTCTTTGTACAGTGATTTTCTACTTCCCAATCCTACACCCGACTGCACGGATGGCGTAGTGGTTTAATCGGTCGCCACGCCACTTACTACTATGCTGAGTGTTGTAGGTCCGATCTCCACATGGGACGACACTTTGTGTGATCCACAAATTGTTGGTCTGATTCTGGGTGTTCTTTGTGTCCGTTTCATGTATGCTTGTAAAGTCCCCCGCGACACAGGATATATTCCTAATGCGGGAGTTGTCTTTTTTAAATAAAAAAAAATCAGAGAAGTTTTTATTGGCCCTTGTTGAAGAACTAGAGGACTTGTACTCTTAAACGAATCCAGAAACAGTAATTTATTTGAGTGATCTTTCCTTTTGACCATTGATAGTCTCAAAAGTGTAGATTAACGGGTATTGAAACTCCAACCGGAGGATTCTCCGACGGTCGCTGTTAAGAAGTAGTATATATCTAAGTTACTGTAAAAGCCCGAACTACGGTAAATACTTAGATTTACCGGTAAAATCTAAGATTTACCAACGAGTTATGGTAATAGTCCGCATTTTAAGCATTTACCACCATTCACTTGGTAAATCTTAAGATTTACTTCAAATTCACGGTAAAAGTCCATAAAAAAATGGTACTGTAAAAGCCTGAACGACAATAAATTTGCCCTCTCTTCCATAAAAATCAACAGACTTGTTTCGCCAACAATAGAGAGGATCTCACTGTTCTAACCTAATATAACGCCAATTTAACTTTAAAGTACCTACTTTTTTTTTCTTCCTAAAGCCAATATTTACCAACCGCCTGTCTTAAAATGGTATAAGTTCTAAAAGTTGTTCCCCTTTTTAACCGACTTCAAAAAAAGGAGGAGGTTCTCAATTCGACTGTATTTTTTTTTTTTTTTTTTTTTTTTTGTATATTTGTTACGCGATTACTCCGGCAATTATAAACCGATTTGAATAATTCTTTTTTTATTTGGTAGGTCATACGTCAGAGGTGGTCCCATTGTCACCAGGTCAGGATCTGATGATGGGATCCTGGGGAAATCGAGGGAAAGAAACCCTCAAATTTTGTAGGCATATACACTGTTTATCAGAAATTATCTTAATCTGTGAAACCCTCACAATTATTGGGAATTTGACAGCCCCGACAACGTGTTTTAGCTACGAGTATTTCTTTAGCCAAACAAACCATGGCAACTGTCAGAGACTGCGCGATGTGATGCGCAGAGAACTTGCAGTATTTATGTCACCACAGTAATTTTCGTTGTATTAAGAAGAAAAGGTTGAAATTTTGTATTCTATCTTGTTAAAATAATTCGGATAGACGTTTTGTTGCTATGGATGGCATCGCATTTCGTTTGTAAGTAATTTTATACTTAATTTATTAAAATAGTTCTGGAAAAAACTCTTAAATTTTGGGTGGGTCAACTAGGTTAATTTCTAACATACTAGTATTAACCCTTCTAGTTGGAACTCCTTCTATAAAATATTGAGCATATTTGTTGAGTAGTCTCACTAAAGCTTCCCTATCTTCACCTTCGAGATCAGTGTCAATTGAATCGGAAGTTATTTTGTTCGGTTGCAACTCACAAGAATTTGACTGTTTCTTAGAAAAGAATTTAAGCTGATCTTGATCAGTTTGGACGCCAATGTAATTTTCATATCCTACACTAAAAATGGTAAAAAAACCCTTTTTAAAAAAAAAGTTGAACCGACTTCAAAAAACACCGACAAAGAGCACTAAAAATTAAAAAATAATTACAAATCTAAGTAAAAAACTATAATAAGTACCCTCAATGTAACAGGTAACATTATAATACCAATAGTCCCTTCTAGTCTGTTTGAAGTCGGTGCCAAGCTCGATGTACAATAAGTAATACTGGTCTATGTCAGCTTTATATTAGCACAATGAAAAATTAAGAATTCAAAATAATTCTAATGAAACATCGAAGATTTTGTTAATTAATAAAGACCAACCAGATCAATTACGTGCGCAAACTTATCAACTACTTATTAAAGAATTCAAAATAATAATATAATTGGAGATGTGCGTCCACTTTAGCTCGTTCATCATGTTTTGCGCAGCATGAAGACTGTTGCAGCTGCCGCGCTACATTCTACCATGCCTATCAAGCACCTATTTGGCTTGGCACCGACTTCAAACTGACTAGAAGGGACTATTGGTATTATAATGTTACCTGTTACATTTAGGGTACTTATTATAGTTTTTTACTTAGATTTGTAATTATTTTTTAATTTTTAGTGCTCTTTGTCGGTGTTTTTTGAAGTCGGTTCAACTTTTTTTTTAAAAAGGGTTTTTATTATTACTTCCATTTACCAACTCCTATCGGCAAATCTTAAGATTTATTTGTAAAAACTAAGATTTGCCGTAGTTACGCCGCTTACTACTACGCTGAGTGTTGTGGGTCCGATCCCCACATGGGACGACACTTTGTGTGATCCACAAATTGTTGTTCTGAGTCTGGGGTCTTTTGTGTCCGTTTCATGTATGTTTGTAAAGTCCCCCGCGTCATAGGATTTATTCCTAGTGCGGGAGTAGTCTTTTTAAAGAAAAAAACCGTAGTTAGGGTTACTGTAAGAGGGCTCTTACAGTAACATATATATACTTATCAAATGTATGTATGCTTTTAAATAATTATGGTGTACCTGACTTTAGTGACTGGCATTATAAAGGCATGTACTTAATACCTATCGTGAGTGAATAAAACCCGTAAATAGAATTATATATTACAGAATATGACAGTTTTAAGTTATATGTTAAAGTAACATTTTTAGTTTAGTATATTCAAAATCGACGCAAAGGTAACAGTTGTAAAGAAATCATTTACTAAATAATATAACTCCATAACATTTAACTTGTCCCTACCTCAATTTCATAATGCCCCATACTCGTAACAGTCGTAATTGGTTAAAAGCATAAATGGCTCCCATGCGATGGGGCGTGTTCATGAATTTTATAATTTCATGTCTAAAAGCTGGACATTTAATACAAAAATATTTAGGCCAGACAAATTACAATATTAAAGTAATTAGAACTTGTATACTAATTTTCGTATAGTAAGATCTGATTAATTTTAGTGTTGTTCTACCATGATTTATACTTAATTTACTCATAATTTCACATTTTTACATACGTACACTCACGCCCTATTCCCGCTCGGAGCATTTCTTAACGCAATTTGTCACGATTCTGATACATAGCTCGCACCTCTTTCATATTTACCAGGACTTTTATACACGTTCGCCAGTTATGGGTGATTTTAACGAGGCACGTTTTCAGTATATTACCGATCTGGTCGGTATATGTCTTTCGAGACCTACCCGCATCGACGCGACCACTGGCAGTCATTCTTGTCACTGTACGGTTAGGTGTTTAGACTAGGTAAATAAAACGATCGAATCCTAGATTAATACTGTCCTATATTTTGGTGGTTCAAATGACCAATATAAATATTACAGTGTAGGACATTTCAGTTTAACATAGATCTTAGACAATAATTAGACTAAGTTACACTAACGTAAATCTATAGTAGTGTTATTTATGATTTTCTACACATAAAGATTTTGCGATTTTGTTAAAAACTTTAGTCGCTGCCTGCCTGAACTAGGGTAAACCTGTCAGCGGCGTGCAGAGGATTATGACACTAGGTATGCGGCTGAGTAGTCGGTCACAAAACACTTTTTCTTTTATAGATTTTTAGCATAGCCAAAGCCACGCGACGGATCTCTCTCTCGGAGTCCGAAACCATGCCAACAGAACAAGTCTTAGATGTACTACTATTCATGTACATCTTCAACGGGAACGCAGACAAAACAGCGATAGATCGTCGCGGCGGAAGAAATTCTAATAAGTAAAATAATAAGCTAAAATATTATATTATAAATACTCACCTGGTCACACACATTTTCCACACATACCTCACAATCAAATAACATTTTAAAAAAATCAACGGAACTCAGTAATAAACTGTTAAATGTACACACTTTCAAATGTTAAAATGAAAAATAAAACAATGCTTATCACATGAAAAAAGCAATATGCCCCCGCGAAACACAAAAAATATCTGCTAATTAAACAAATAAAACCCTACCATATTCAAAATTCATAATCCGCACACATGATTTATTATATTTCTGTCTATTGTGTTTAGTCGATTTATAGGCAACGAACATTTCCGATTACTCCCGACAATTGCCGAACTTTAGTAGCCTGCGGCTGGAGCCGGGGAAATAAAATATATGGGTGTGTGCGTTTGCAAACTGTGCACGGACACCAAAATTACTGCACACAAGCGAACAAATTTCCTGCGGCAAGTTTCGGCATGAGTTGGTTGGTAGGTACAGCGCCGCTTGCTTTTTGGTAAACGCCTGGCAAACATAATGTTTGTGTGCTTTCAAATGACAAATAGGTGCTATTTATAAAATAGTAGGCGTTTTTACATACATTATATTTTGTTTATTCATTTATTTACTATTAATTAAAGTCATTTAAAACGTGCGAAAGTTTTATTAAAATGTCTGTGAATAGCAAGTGAAGCACTGCATTTCTGCCTACAAGGAGCGCACGCCCCTGAAACCTGTGTTTCAGGCGATCGGTTCACATGGAATTTTTAAGGTAGAAATGTAAGATAAACATAACAGATCACTAGAAAATATAAAAAATACTACAAAGTGTACACGTACGAAAGGAAATAATAGAAAATAATATTATACAAAAACTATTTAAGACTCATTTAACAATTGCAAATACATTTTCTGTGTCTGCATAGTTAAATTTACCTAAATATTCTGATAACATGATCACACATTTTTTATTATTGAGGCTATATATATTTAGTATTCTATTAATTTTATTGTATAAAAAGGTCCTAAAAATAAATAAAATCTATGAACAAATGTTTGACTAGCTTGAGGCCTGCTACACACTATGTCCTTCCTTCTCTTATTTGATGGTATAGATGATGGTTATAGGGAAGTTCAGTATGCTGTTTTAGAATGCTGTGCAATATATTACTAATCCATCGTTTTGGTTCAATATTATATCATTGTTATGCAGTAGGTAACCCTTAAGAGATGGTAAATGCGGATGCTGATTAGACAACCAACACTCTGTCAAAATGATAATATCACAGTTTATATCAAGAGTATGTAACAATACCTCAAAACCAGTCATGTTTACATGTATACTGCGAATATTTTGTGTAATAATTGTGAGTAAATTATCCGTAGTCGGCACATATTGTTTACAGTCTTCGACTTCACAATATATAACCTCAGACACAGAAAAATTATCTAGGTCACAGAGCAACTGTTTAGACATTATTAATTAAAATAAAATATAAAAAAGGTATAAGTGCTTACACTATAAATTAATTCCGGCGCTCTTAGGCGCCCTCATAGTTTATAGAATTGATGTATTTGTCCTCAGCGTATTTCCGTGCTGGGCAACTTCCATAACCAGTTTGGTGATCACTTGTCCTTTTGAAATGCTTACACGTCGCACAAGTAGGTGGTGCAGCTTTTTTGTTGCATTCCTTAAAGGTATGCCCGAGCTCTCCACAATGGTTACAGGTTGGGCTGGTTTCACGGCAATATTTAGCTGCATGACCAAACTGCTGGCAGTTGAAGCACCTAGTCACCAGCGTGAAGTCTCTAACTGGACAAGAAGTCCAGTTTATGTAGATTCTCATTTGATTCATAAGCACTTTTCTAATGTTAGCCGGCACCTCAAGTATATAGTTACAGGTAGGAAGGCTTTTCTTACCTGATTTGTGGCTCAGTTTTATGGTGTTGAGACAGGACTCGCGAGAAGCGCCAGGAAACTTGTCTGCCAAGTTCTGCTCGTAAATGCATTCAAGTACCTCTTTTTCAGTCAGGGCTACGGGTACACCCACAACAGTGACTCTCGGATTACGTTTAGTAGGTTCTTCAATTTTTAGGCCTGACGAAACTAATTTCTCTGACTGCTTTAGTTTTTCGATATCCCCTCTAGTTGCGGCACTAATGAGAACGCCTCCATTCCTCACTTTTCTAAGGCCCCTTACGTGCAGTTTCAGTTCCTCCGGTGAAATGATTTTTTGGACCAGAGACTTCGTTTCTTCACTAGTTTTGGTCTTGTCACTAGGGTAGATAGCTAGGGTACTAACATTGTTTGGACGGACAAACTTATCAGCACCTTTTTTCACCATATCGGCAAAGGAGGTACGTTCCTGCGTACTCAGCTTTTCTTCAACAGTGCTCTTAAATTGGCTGAGGGAGCTCGCTACATCCTGGTTTTCTTGTAGGTGCTGTATAGTGGTATGCGCAAGAATAGCTTTCTGCTTCAGAGATTGGTATAGTACGGCCATCTGAGACGTTCCAGATCCGATCTTACGGCAAATATTTGTGACACGCATTTTCTGATCCGTGTTCATTTTGCCCTCTGCCACTATAGAGCAGACCTCACAGGGCATCAATACTCGTCATCCATTTCTGGATCTCCGACGTCGGTATTGCCTCGCTAGGTAAATCATTTTTCTCGGGCAAAGGCGGTTTTTTAGCAGTCGGCTGATATTGTTGTGTGGGCGTCGGTGGGGGACTCCTCCGTATTAACTGGCTACGGCCAAATGGGCTTGATCCTGGGTTAGACATTGAAATTGACACAGTTTCACGGTTTGAAAATTATTTTAGACCATGCTAAATACACACTTTAAGAACAGAGACAGTAGGCATATATCACTCTCGCTCATGACACACTTAGTGAAAAGTACTTACGCTACAAAATATTTAGTTATTAGAAATTATTTATTATTTATATCTCGTACATTATGTCCAATACAAAAAACACGTCTGCTTAGTCAAACGATCGATCTAGAATTCGATTCGATAGATATTAACATAGAGTAGATTATATTTATTTAATCATACATCACATCACTTATTTTATTTTTTTCACAAAGGAAAATCAATCCTTTATCGACCAATATCGTCGATGCCTGTCCCTTTATCAAATTACAAATTTTTTTTCCCTATTCATCATCAGCAGCATTTAACAGTCCACTACTAGACATAGGCCTCTCCTTAGAAAGGAGGTTTTGGCCTACTATACCACGCTGGCCAGACGAGTTGGTATAGGGTCTGTGTCAAGTTTGCCTTCTCTTTGCGGTGTTGTTGTCCTGCGTAGTTTGCTGAACGAACACCCACGGGATGAATGGGGATGAGGACAATCCGTTTTCTACGTCCACACTACCACACATCCTTATTCGTGTGATCCAAATCGTATCAGATATTTTAAGCTAAAACATCTTTCACTTATAACCATTTCTATTTACAGGACAACCTCAATAAGTTCTCCTCAAGCAAAGTCCCCAGCAGGCAGCAGCGCTGGAGCCGCTGCAAGTGCTTCCACTGCACCGGGAGAACGTACTCCAACTGCTCACAACAAACAACTCCAAAATGTCAAGGGTCAAGACCATCCGCCGCACCCATCTGTAAGTAGAATGTCTTCGGAAAACGGGCAGTACCCGAGTTTTTGATGTGAATGTTTTTAGGTAGTACTCAAACGGGTAGTACCCAAAATTGATGTGAAAAGGTTTTGAATGGTATTCGATGTTTAAATTTACGTTTAGTTGATGTTTAAATTGATGTATTCAGGTAGTTGATGTTTAATGATATTTGAATGTTTTTATGTAGTCAAATTTGTGTATCTAGTAGGATATGCATTTGATGTTTAACGTGTTAGTTTTATTTCTTAACAGATGAGTGGGTAGTGGATCCAAAATTTGGTTACTATGATGTACTTTATTTGCAAATAGTTCATCTTGGACTTCAAAAATCATGTTGCGAAAAATACAAAAGTACGTGAAAAATGAAAATTTGTAACAAAGTAAAAAATATATTTCATCAATGAAAATGTAAATTGCGAACAAATTAAAATAGAATTTGCAATGGGGATAATTGAGAGATTATATAATCATATTAATTTTGAAATTAATAAAATCTTAATTAAGTAATTTGAAATTAATATTTAATGAATTAATTAATATATGTAGTATCAAGTACTCAGTGTTATTGGCTGATATTATATCAACAGCCTTTAAAAAGGGTTCATAAATTCGATTACGGAACGGAGTTTTTCTTCAACGACGCTAATGATATTTGAATCCACCAAATCCACTTATTCGCTAATTTTACCCGTACACGTGTAGAAGTAGTTTTGCTTATTATTATACTATTGATGAAAGTAAACGAGGTTTTCGAAACTTTGAGGATCATAGCCTTTTATTTAGGCCTGAAGCGACCACGTGTATTTCTAATAAACATGTCTACCCACTCACAAATGTTTGTATTTATGTTAGAATACAATTAAAAGACCCATGACAATCATGAAATAAGTTTCTCGTCGTCATATTTTACAATATTGAACTCTAATTGTTTGAAAAAAAACTCCGTTTCTCTCGACTATATCAATAATAAAAATTAAAAGTTTGAGAAAATATAATATATATGTATGTGTATTTATATATATAGGTGTTTAGTTTTTGCAGCCGATCACACTAATGATTAGGACGATACTATTAAAATTTAAAATTGCGTTTGGGTAGAACTCACCAATCTCTGAAACTACCGGTATGATTAGAGTTAAATAATAATGATCATAATGTTTTCGGACATTTGACACACAACGCCATCTAGTTTCAAACTAAGCAGAACTTGTACTATGAAAGCTAGATTGACTGATAGAATACTTATACGAGTATACTTATAATATTTTTATAAATACATACATATTTTACATAGAAACACCCAAACTCCGAAACAAATATTTGCAAACCATACAAACATTTGGTCCGACTTGGGAATCGAACCCGAGACCTCAGCACAGCAGTCGCATACGCTACCACTGCGCCACTGAGGCAGTCAAATGAAGTAATGTGTGATAGGCTATTAAACGTCGCAATACGACGCATGTGGTGACGGATAAAGAATACACAGTGTCACCACCCCTATTCATCCCGTGGGTGTCGTAAGAGCCGACTAAGGGAGCAAACTATGCAGGAAAACAGCACTGCAGAGAGAAGGAAAATTGACACAAACCCTACACCAACCCGCCTGACCAGCGTGGTATAGTACACCAAAACGTCCTTTCTTAGGAGAGGACTTTGTCCAGCAGTGGACTAGTAAAGGTTGTTGATGTGATGATGTGATGTGATACGAAGCATAGGAGCAGAACAGAGATTGTAAGTGTTGCTGCAAGTGCAAGAAAAAAAGCTAGATCAGTTGAATTTTATTAAAGCCAGCCATTGAGCCATCTATATGGTAGTATGTTTATTGAAGAGTTCATCATCATCAGCCTATAGCAGTCCACTGCTGCACATTGGCACCCATTGCACGCCACTTAGATCGATTTTGGGCTTCGCAATTCAATGCTTATTAAAGAATTACGTAGTAGAAAATAAATTTGTCATATTTCCATGAAAATAACGCCAATACATAATTGATTAGACGCGTTCATCAAAGTTTCAGAGTTAATTATCAAATTATGTTGAACGCGTTAATTTATTTTTGAAATAAACAGAAGTTCGTTTTTATAAGGTTTGCATAATTAATAATTCTACTAATATATTATTACCTCGTTCATAAAACAGAAATTTGAATGAAAAATTCAGTTTCAATAATCTTGATGTAGACATATTGGAGTCAGCGATAATTTTTTAAATATTACTCGGTACCCCGGGGGTAGTTTTAGCCTACGGTATGTTTATAATGATCTGCAAATATTTGTTTCGGAGTTTGTTTATTTCTATGTATTAACAAAAAAAAAAGAATTTAAGTATTATATCAGTCAATCTAGCTTTCATAGTACAAGTTCTGCTTAGTTTAAAACTAGATGGCGTTGTGGGTTAGATGTCGGGAAGAAACTGGCTACTCCCGGTTTTCAATTCCTTGCTCATCCTACGGGAATACTACATCTTTTCGTTATTAAGCTTTAACCAAAGTAGAACTTCAAGTAGAGTTTCAGAAAAAGTAACACACATACAAATACACACACATACAAACTTTCGCTTTTATAATGATGACCCTCGACTCTTAATTTTTAAAAGTATAATAAAGGAAAAACGTTCACAGTAGTACATAAATAAGTACTTACATTTATTTAACTCATAATTCCACTTAAATTAAAAAGAAAAACAATGTGATCGACTGCAAAAACATAGATGTGTTCATTAAAAATCTATAAGGCTTTCCTTAAAATGTGTGTTTCATTATATATTTAAAAAAGACAGTACGGAATCGATTTGATTATAAATAATGTTTTGCATGCACAATACGTAACAGATACATACAATATCTATCATTTAGAACAGAATATTATTTATTAAAAAACAAAAATAAAACAAAAGTTAAATGACAACATACACAAAGAAACTAAAAATCAAGTAAGGTGTGACAAACGCGTTAACAAGGCAACATTTTTCAATGTGTCAATCTATATCTATACTAATATTATAAAGCTGAAGAGTTTGTTTGTTTGTTTGAACGCGCTAATCTCAGGAACTACTTGTCCGATTTAAAAAATAAATTCTTCCAGTGTTAGATAGCCCATTTATCGAGGAAGGCTATAGGCTATATATCATCACGCTAAGACCAATAGGAGCGGAGCACCAATGAAGAATGTTTCAAAAACGGAGAAAATTTATTACTATTGAGACGCAGACGCAGTTGCGCGGGTCAGCTAGTCTTTCATATCTGACAGAAATGTGTCACGTATCCAACCACGCGTCTATTAAATGCTACTTATAATAACTATTACTTATCAACTAAGACTTATGAATGTATGTACCATAAAGAACCCTTAATGTTGCTGAGGGTTGTTTGCCGTGTTTCAGAAAATAGGTGGACCCTCAGTGTACCCTGTGGTGGATAGATGCCACCTCAGTACTGATTTTGAGTGCCCGCCTTTAGACATAATTTTTACTTTGTTAGTGGACCATATTTTTTATGCAAAAATAATGTCTACCTATTACTGGTAACTATTTACTAGAAGTAAATAGTTACTTCAACTTAGGAAGGTGTTCAGAAAGAAGTTTTTCATTATAATTATGTCAATATGTACTTTATGGATGGAGGATGGGACGATGGCAATAAAAGTAATATGGGACTAAATAATGTGTACGACATGTCGAGATCACTACATGCTTGTAACTTCATACCTAAAGTGCGTATCGGACAAGGGACGTTTTTGTTTACGGGTTGGAAAATCGCTTCGGATCTCCTGCTCCTCGGGGACTCAGGAGTCAGGAGTATGTGGTGGCCAGACTCAGGTGAACTCTCTGTAAGGAATCGCGGTGTGGCGGCCCAATGGCGTCTTAATGCAATCAGGCTGCCATTCTATCCCGTACCGCAGCAGTCAATCAGCCACCAGAGGTACTTACTTTCTGGCGGCCCGCGTAACGTCACCAACGTCTTCTACGCTCGAGATCGGCCCTCTCCCGATCCCATTCAGCGGTCTCTTTCTGGAGCATTTAAGCTTCACAGGAAGAGACAACTACGCCCCATCCCTCCTCACCCGCCAGTATGGCAGCAATCATTGTTGGCGGGGACAGATCTCGTCCGATTTGGTCGACCAGGACTTTGCGTTCAGAATAAGACCTGCTAGAAAAAGCATAGTCTAATCCTACGAGTATATCCAAATCCAAATAAAGCATAGACTGATGGATTATAGAACAAATATTTTCAACCCCACAATAACCTGAGTCGATGAGGCAGTGCTTTCAATTTACTTTTTCTAGTAAATGCTGTTGACTTCTGAATCTCGTTAAAATACTAAATTGATTAAGAACTAGAAAGTATTAAAAGGTCTCAGATTTGTAACTCAAATCATTCTATGTAGCTAATATTAAATTTTGAAAGTTAAACAAAAGATTGCTCCGAACTTTCGCTTTCTACGACAAATATCACGAAATTATTCATTCTAAAACAGACAAGGGCTCACAATCTTCGGATCTCGTATTTACCAAGCTCTTGAATCGTTTACCGATATCTGAGACTACTTAAAAGAAAAGTCCAGCACTTTTGTATTAACTTAGAAAACACCAGAAATTATTAAGTTGTTTGTTAAAATCAATTGAATCAAAGGTCGAAATTCACCCAAAATAACTTAATTTATTATCCATACTTATATTATAAATGTGGAAGTAAGTTTGTATGTTTGTTTCTTACGCCTTAACGCTTTCACACTTAAGCCGCGAAACCGATTTAAAAAAATATTTCAGCAATGCAAGCTACATTATCAGCCAGTAATATAGGCTATTTTTTACCACGATAACACGTGGGTAAAAAAAAACTATCAACTAACTAAATAACTATCAACTATCACTTTTGGAGTTGGATAATAAAATGAGCAGACTTTTTTTTTAATCGGGACTAATCCCACCCACACGCCCACCACTGTAACTCCTGTACACCAGGATCCACAGCAGTGACCCACGAACACACCGAGTTATGACACTCGGGAAGTCCCAGGAAGAAATTAAACTGTCTATGAACCCGCAACGAAATTAATCAGAAGAAAATTGGAGGAGTTGGAAATACAGTAAATCCACTTCCCTATTTAGCAAAGCGGGCAGACTTTTTTTTTTTAATTGGGACTAATCCCACCCACACGCCCACCACTGTAACTCCTGTACACCAGGATCCACAGCAGTGACCCACGAACACACCGAGTTATGACACTCGGGAAGTCCCAGGAAGAAATTAAACTGTCTTGGAACCCGCAACGAAATTAATCAGAAGAAAATTGGAGGAGTTGGAAATACAGTAAATCCACTTCCCTCCTTAGCAAAGCGGGAGACAAAATGAAGT